AACAAACTTTATTCACCTTCTTACTATTTACCTATTATTAATTAAATCTATTAATGTCTTACTTTCAAAATTAAATGAAAACAAATTTTAATTACAGCCTAATTAAAAGCCTACAAATATGAAAGGTGATTTTTTTTTAACAGTTAAGCAGGTGTTGGCTGAGTTTTTATAACTAAGCAATCTTTGTAAATGAGCTCCTATTTTTACATCTTTCCAAAAGTAGACCTCCTACTGTGGAAGTGTGTTTTGTTTATTTTTACAGTGAGCATGTGATAAAAGCCAAAAAGTGTTGTTTTACTCTACATTACATCCTGATCAACTCAGTAACTGCCCACTTTAGGACCCATATGCTGTTAACAATGCCTGCACTAACAGAAGAATGTCTGCATTTAGAAAATTCTCCACTCAGACAAATTTGTTCAGAGGCCTGAGGAAAAGCTCTTCTAAAAATATCACCTACCAACAGAATGTGTGTTATCTATAACCATGCATAAAAACTGAAAGGCACAAATAAAGCAGAAATCCATGTAAAATGACTTGTCCTTTTACAAGGGGATAATGTTGTGATTTTAGAGCTTTGAATTAAGTAAAAGACTTGAAGCTGGAACTCCTCAGTTCTAATCCTACCTATGTCAACTGGGAAACTTCACTTATTATGTGCCTCATTTTTCACCCAGAAGCAGCAGCAAGCATAGGGTTCTTTTAAAGATCCAGCAGTTAATATCTGTAAAACAACTGACAGAGACAAAGCACTTTAATCAGAGCTAAATACAGTCAACTCCAGTTCCACACCTGCTTAACTGAACAACAAAGAAAAGGTACTTTGCCTACTGCTCACATTATAACAAATATCAATTATTTGTATGTCAGTTGAATACATAAAATGTTTGCGTGCAAAGCTTTTTTCAGTCCCACTCTCTATTTTATAATTGCACGCCAGTTGACTGAATAATAATTTGTGCATAATAACAATAAATGATGCAAGAGAAGCAAACGTCAAAGGGCTGCTATTAGAGGCCTCAAAATGATGGGAAGTAATCAGTTTAAGGGATGCCAGCAGTATTGCACTCACAATTAAAATGTTGTTTTCTCAAAGTAAGAAATATTCATTAAGTTCAGATACATGCATATTTCAGTCTTAAGGCTACACACTTACTACAGCGTAGTCTGTATAACTAAGTCCAGCAGGTAAAGTTCTATTCAAAATAAAGATCTGGGTGAAAGGTGGACTCATATTGGTAATCTTTTCAGCACCATTCTGCTCTTCCTCCAGACCACAAGGGAGCCCCTAATAAGGACTAAAACAAGGAACACTTAGAGATGGGAAAAGACTAAGATTGATACATGTCAACTATTATGGACTCTTCGGAATTTATTTTTGGATTAATCAGTCCCAGACAGTATTACCTTTCCCAGACACTGTAAATGCTGCCAAGGACTTAAGAGTGTGTACCTGCTGAGGGTAGAAGGGAGGTGGTGGTTGTGGTGGTGGTGGAAAGACTCAGGAGTAAGATAAAAAGACAATCTTAGCGAGTAAATTTTCACTGTAATTTCCCAACCCAAGTTTCCAGTAAGAGTTTCTGAAAGGATCTTTGTAGAAAACTAGTAACGTTAGGCTCAACACTTGCTAAAAGTGGGAGTCAGAACAGAGCTTGGGAGAGTCCAGGACCAGTCGTGTTAGCTGAGTTGTTTTCTGAATATTATTACACCATGCCACAAAAAAATAGCAGTGATGTGTACACTGGGTAGATGTGAATCTGTAATAAGTATAGGTTCTGAACATTCAAATGCTTAATTGTGTGACTATTCAATAGGACAATTAATGTACAGATATTTACAGGTCAAGACTTTAAAGAATTTTTCATTTATGAAAATTATTCCAGTTTTAATTGAAGTATGTGTACATTTCATGATAAGAAACAGTTGCAACAGAATGCTGAAGCCTTGTTACATGAGCTTAATCTAATTTAGAGGCAGAAAGTTAAAGTTTGACTGTAATTCAGAAGCAGACAGACACTGTTCTTCTGTATTTTATTACTCAAATTATTTATAAAGATGTATGGACTTTAAAAATCAAAGTACTCTTTAAAATACTATTTCTATTTATTAAAATATCAAACTCACATTGACTGGAGTACTCAGCATCTCACAAAATAGATTGAAAAATTTAAGTACCTTGCAATTAGGAAGTTGTTCATAACTATTCAAAACCCTAATCCTTAGGAACAATGAATGCATTACAAATACAACACTTGCACATTATTCATAATTTTATACAGCCTTACATTGATAATGTATTTTAAGGATGTGGTGCTTTAAAGCCACAGCATGCAAGTAACTGTTCATGTAATTTTTTTTCATTAAGCTCACTAGGACTGCATGTCATTAGTAAAAATTACTTATATTTTAAGACATTGAAAGAAAGAGCCCTGGCTTATCCATGAAGCTTATCATCAAAACCCTCTCTGGGGCAGGAAAGGTCCTTTCGTTGCCCATTTGTACAATCCCTAGTCAGGAAACTGCAGTGCTGAATTCCAGTAATATTTGAATGCACAACACAGTAAACAAAATATCCCCAAACGTACCAGAGACGAGCTCCATGGTTGGATGTATCAGAAAGAAAAAGCTTCAGTGCTTAATTCCAAAACCATGGTTGGGTTCAATCTATATTATTTCACATGAAAAATAGTTTGGGTTGCAGGGGGCGTGTCCAGACGAGTGCACATGTGCAGCATGAGGCACTGCAGACCTGTCTGCAGTGTTGCACACCACATATGCCACACATGCAGGTGTTCCCCATGCTGCTACTTTGGAGCAAGGGTTTTTTAATGAGCCTGGGAGATCCCAGGGTGAAAAAACCCTGCACTAAGGATGGGGGTGCACATGGCAGCAGGGTGTGCTGCCAGAAACTGGAGCCTGGCTGGCTAGAGCCACACTCCGGCTGCCAGCCAGGCTGCTGCATCACCGCCACCGAAGCCCCA